CAATCAATCAGTCAATCAATCAATCGTATTTATTCACACACAGAAACACACGCGCTTATACACTCACAGTCCATAGGTATAACCAAGGAAGAAGCCAATCCAGTGAAAACTGTGCTTTTTTCAGTTTGATACGCTCTTTGGATCTGGTGCATACTCAGTAAGTCACATGCTAAGAAGCATACGATGGCATTCCGAAATGAATTTGCGTTGATTACACCACTTCTATGTAAAACCTACGGTTTCTGGGCACAAATCTTCTCGTCTAGATGTGTTTTATTGCCCCGGGCGTCATTGTGTAATCTTTTTCATCGCCGTGCATATTTCGNGCTCTTCGTTATACTCTCAGTTAGATTTGGTTTTATATGAATAAGCACCTGAAAGATATAATTCTCCTTGGCGCAACATATTTGTCATGCCTAGCAAATATTGTTATATGACCTCGGAAGTGCTTCACTGTAGACGAGATATGAGAAACTTTCACGGTGTTTCTGTTTTACACTTTCTGACTGGAAAGGCCTGTTCGAAATCGCTACTCAGTCACTTGAGGAAGGATGCTTGTGCTACGTACGCATTCGTTCATCAATTCTCGTTGATCATCCAACCACGTGATACAGGTGTTCATGACAGACACCGATCAATATCTCTCCAAGCCGTTTGTCCGTGAACGATCTTGACCTCGGTCTAGGCCATCGTTTCAAGCGATTGATCTATTCTCACGATCGTTAATTTAATTGTTAACGCAGAACCCCGTCTTTTGTGTTCTGCTTTCTTGTGTTGGGTTACGAGCCCATAAAATACCGTGCATTGGCGTCACCGTTGAAATTCGGTCTTAACAGTATTACTTAGGATAATCAATACTTAAAGATGCAGTCCTTTCATATATGGAATCAACCTGATTGGCATAGTAAGTGCTCACGTGAACTTGACGTCGAACGACAGAAATGGATTGTTCAATGAAACCTCGATTTTCAGTTCTAAATTTAATTGTTTCAAGTGAGCAATGGAGGATTTGGTCCAATTTCAAAGATGAATTCGTCGTGTATATGGTAAATGAAGCGTGAACCGAAATGCTAAGAAGCACTGGAAAGCTGCTTCGACCTGGTCGGGTCTCATCAGTTGAAATAAGTAGCCAGGTTGTGAATGTTTCCAACCGAGTCATAACCCGGAGACTAATGTTGAAATGATCCAGGTCTGTGGCCCGCAACAATCTGGCAAAAATAGGTTGTGCTATATCTTGTAAATGGAAAATGAAAAACGGTCTGATCAGCTGTCTGGTGGCCGAGCGGGTAATACACTAACGTTCTACTTGTAAAGTCCCGACTTCGATCCCCAGTTGGGTGGATGGATTCGCACTGCTGATAAGGCCCAACCAGGTCGAAATAGTTGTCCAATACTTTCTAGCTTTTCAGTTCACGATTCATTTGTCATTTAATTGGTACCTAACAGGACCAAGCCTCAATCGCCCGTCATATACTGCACTACAAGGAATGCGCCAAATCTCGAAACGTTTTTCATGTGTGGATTCATCCGAAGGGTAGGTGTTAACAACATTTCCCCAAGCGGCAGTTACTAATCGGCGGTAAAACCCCGAGCTGCATAAACAGACCGAATTCGTAGCCAACCTCCGGTGGCCCCAGCAAATGTGACTGTTCTTCCGTGCATTGATTACACTCCCTCCCCGCCCGCCCCCCTGACCAATGACCAGTCTGTTTCGGTTTTATGACCTTTGGCCTCCGTATTGATTGATTTCTCTTCTCCGTGTGTGTTCACTCGCCCATTAGACATGTCATTCTTTCAACCAAACGTGATCTGAATATACGCGCAAAGCTGATAAGATTAACCAGAAATAGCTCTCACAAAAATATTAAAGGATACTTATTGGTTACATGAGATCATCTAATCGTGTTCTTTTTCAGGCCTATTGATAAAATCCGTGGATTAACTTCGAGATCGTTTCGGGAGGTAATAAACAATCTGAACAACTACACTCCAGTGGTTGATAGATTCAAAATCCACATTGTGGTCAACGTTTTGCTTATACCCTGTAACTTCATCCGCCGCTACTGGCCATCCAGGGGGATAGAAACACTAAACCGTGGGTAGTGCTCGAAACGGTTTCTTCTAGTTAATTTTGATTAACTACTCAGTACACCACCTCAGTTGTATTATATCAAATTTAGCAAGCAACGGGTTCTATTTGTCAGCTCCGCTGACGGCAACTAGATTTCTCCGCTCCACTCCTTTCCGTCATCACGAAATCTTTCTTCATCAACAGTTTTTTTTTGTTAGAGAATAATTGTAAACAAAAATGAAAATGATTTCTTTCGTTGTGTGTTCATTAGTTTCCGTTATTTTGGATGATGCTTTTTGATCCAGTGATGTGTGTGTGTGATGTGGGCACTAATCAGCATACCTTAGCACTGGAGAGTCGGATATGAGTCGAGACACCTTATACAGGATTGAGCAAACTAATGGGATACACTCGACGATAATTGTGGCTATGTTTTACGATTTTTCGAAGCAGTAGAAATAAATGTAGCCAGAGTATGGATTGATCCGACGAACAGGTCGGCTACTATTACACATATCGCTTCAGACAATTTCCGTGATGTGACTCGTTTGGACGAGGTCACACCAAAACCCGTAGACCCGGGCTCAAAATTCATTACATTCTCCCACTCGCAAACACACACACACTCGTTTATGCACGTGATCAACTGCGATGAGTTACAGATGATCGGGGGCAACCGATTACAACCGATTTATTCACAATGATGCAAGAACATGTTTGTCAAATACAGTGTATGCAAGTTTCAAGAGAATACGAAACAGTTTTTCATGTGCACGGGATGAGGAATGAAACGATCAATACAGATGATCAAAAAAAGAATGATGGACTCTGGTCAATGGGACAGCATGTTACATCTGGATTATGGATAAACTTGCGTGTGTACGTATGTATGTATGTATGTATGTATGTATGTATGTATGTATGTATGTATGTATGTATGTATGTATGTATGTATGTATGTATGTATGTATGTATGTATGTATGTATGTATGTATGTATGTATATATGTATGTATGTATACTCACGGACAAACAGACATTGACTGCGAAATTGGGGAGGCGGATCACAGACCCGGAACGTCATGGATTAGTTGAGCCTGTTCTGATCTGTTTGGGGGCGGAAATAGAACAGTCTATCAAATCTCGGAAGATAGCAGTTCCTGAATTAATTGTTCCGCCGGTTTTTCAAACTTTATTGCGGCACTTGCCTGATTCAAATCCGGATCTGTAACATCAGGCGTCGATTGTTTCGCCTCGTGTTCTGGCAAAATTTGTGACACGTCAAATTCGATTAGTTGAGGAGGTTGTGGATGTTCGTCTATTTGATGTTTACCCAGCTCTTCTTCCCGGGGTTCATTATGGTGATCTTCGTCATCATGATCTACGCTTTCATCATTGTCTGCTTCCATGTCACTATCATCATCTTTATCATGTTCACCAACATCGTGGTTAACCTTTTGAATTTCTTGTTTGTCCTCCTCATCTTGTGGTCTAATCTCCACATGTCGTTCCTCTTCATCCAGTTCTTCTTCCTTCCTCTCAGTCCCGTGCACCAATTCATCAGTTTCAAAATCTGTTGAGGTCTTTAGTTGCACACATTCCACCGGGATAGTAGTAGTGTTCATGCGAGAGGATTCGTCTGTGAGTGATGTTTCCTCCATCGTTTCCTCATTTGACTCCGGCAATACTTCGGACGGAATTGCTTGCACTGTTTCCGTGACGGTTGTTTTCTTCACCTCCACTTCTTCTCTTCGCTTGTCCTCCGCCTCCTGCTCCTTCTCACGTGATTCTTCGTGTTCATCGGCAGTTTCTTCGTCTTCTACTTTGTCCAACTCTCGCTGTTTGTTTTCTTCTTTTTCTTCAGTTTCTTTTTTACCCGCACTTGCTTCCACTTGCTTGTCTTCTACAATCTCCAATTTCTCGTCAGTCTCTGTCTCAGGAACACAGGGAACCGGGACGGGTTCTGCGGACAGGGGTTGTATCATTACCGGTTCTAGCCGTTCTTCTACTTTAGTATCGATTAAGAAATGTTCTCCTACTGGGACCTCGCAAACATTCGCACGTACCATTGTGACTTCCGGATGTGTGACCAAGTGTGCCGAATTGGCTGACGATGAAATTTCATGTTGCTCTGGTCGCACATTGACCAACGGGCTAACCGGTTCCTCTGTCTTTTCTTCCACATCCAAACTCACGTTGGTTACTTCAGTTTTCACTGTGACAGGCTGCTGCTGCTGCTGTGGAGAGTCCGACGGAATAGTGGAAACTGTGGTATCCGGTAGATTAGGTGTCCATTCTTCACTGTTCGCGGATGGGGCGGAGGTAGTTGCATGGGTTTTCACCGCGTGATCGTTAGATGAAGAAGATGGACTGTGCCAGATGTGTTGGAACAAATTACGAAACCAAGATAACATACTGTACTGGTCGACACGTAAGACTTGACTAAACATGGAGAGATGGTTTATATATGGAGTCGAATCTCTGCGTGTGTGTGTGTGTGTGTGTATGCGAACGCATGTGTTCATGTGTGTGTCCTGTTGGTATCGTTGACGAGTCTCGTGATCTGTCGATAGGTCATTAATTTGTGCGGCTGTGAATGTGTATGTCTGTCTGTGTGTGTGTGAGCGGGGGGGGGGGNACATAATGATCGAGACGAGGGGCGGCAGGTAGTTGTTGCAAGTGAAATCCGTAATGAAACTCTCTCTCTCTCTGTGGCGTGAACACGAAAACACTCATTCAGATTGACTGTGCGCACGCATGAATTCGCACACACGAACGTGGTGTCTGGAAGGCATGATCATAGTCATAACAAAATTCTTCCACAAAACGGTGTTTACAGCTATTTTGGTTTCAGTGAAAATACGAAGCTTTTTCTATGTCCTTCTGAGTGAGACAAACGGTGGTGGTGGTGTTGATAAACTTGACGTTTATGTTGCTTCACACGATTCCATGCCTCGGTGGATGCACATCTCGAATTAACGGTAGATCCCACACAAACACACACACGTTTGGGAAGGTCTAACGGCATGCGTGCTCCATTGGTGGGTCCAAATACATTACCGTCTGATTGATAATCAATCCGACGTTTGGTTTTGCTATTTTACATGCATTAGCTTTGCACTTGCATGCTACAGTTTTGGTAACCGACTTTCGACTGTCTATGTGGATAGATTGGGATGCTGGAAGCAGGATCAACATGAAGACAGAGAATTTAGGTAGACAGATAAATTGTCTAGAAGATGTCCGAGTAGTGCAACTGTTCGCCACTGTCAGCCATCTCACTGTATGTATCGGTCATACTGGTCCCGATGTCCGCACGATGTCTGCACGACCGAATTCCCCGATCAGGACTTTCATATCAACATGCCAGCTGTTGGTTTGACCAACTTTCACATTTAGGAGGAACTGCCTACCTCGGATGGTATTTTAATTCAAGGAAACCTATAATTTCTTTCAGTAGGTGACTGTGATTGCCTAAAACTCTGGACATAATCACAATATTCCTCCCCCAGTCGACCCACTAGATTTGGGTTCGAATATTGATAGTCAATCTTTATCCTATTCCCGCAACGTCCAAGCCTCGGAAACACTTGCAGCACCGGTTGGACTGAGCTTCCTCCCTTGATAGTACACTCAATTGAGCTTTAACTACTGATTATCGGTAATAAGCTATAGTCTACTGCCTCTCTGTTAAGTATGGCGATGGAGATCGATATTTTTCAGCTTCTCCTTCGGATTTCGGGTTGTTTCTTTAGCTCGAGCAACCCCCAATAGTCGCGTTGCGAATGCTCCAAGCATTAGATTCAGGATAAGTCAAAATAATTTGACAAAAATAGCTACTTTCATGAGAGATGAATTCGCAAAAGGTTGATTGACAGACCTGAATGCTACCAGCCACGTCCCCGGGTTGTGGACAGGGGGATACCTTCAAAGAAGGTTAGCTGTGCATAATTTGTGGTATATCGCAACAAATAAGCAATCGCGAACAAACCAGGGTGTGTTGGGTTTCAGGCTGGTCACATGGCTCCTGTTTAAAAGCCCTATAAGCCCAATGACGATGTCGTGACAACAAAGGTCGATGTGGCTGGCCCTTTAAAAATAAAGTAATTAACCCCCTCACTTCCAAGGCGAGGGATTACTTCCTGCTACCTTGTAGTTCGCATTTGGTTAAGCAAAAGTTAAAGGTGCGCCTTCAAAATAAAAAAGCCCCAAGTAAGGCTGGGGACGTCTCTTGTACCAAACTCCCAAGGAACTTCATGATCATGTCCCGAGCCGGCTTATCCTTTCCAAGGAGCCAGCTGCAGTAATGTAAAGTAATTAAGATTGGCAGTGCGAGTTTTTGAGCTTTCTCCAAATATGATATGGTATGCTGTGAGATACATGACCATCACGTGGAAACTTGCGGAGTTTGTGCTTGGTGCGACTAAAAAAGGATTCAAGGAGTCGATAACTTGATTAGCAATAAGTTTAAAAATTTCAATGGCTGTAACCTGCGGAGACAGAGACTAACAAGAAACGCAGTTAAACATTTCTAGTTTCACCAACCTTCCGTCCTTGTTCAACGCCGACATTATACGTCATGGCACTTGTTGAGAGATTTACAGTTCAATGCCTGAAAGATTCCTGTTGTTTGGTTAGTTTCTGACAGAGTTTCATTATTTGCCCTAATGTTGCAAAGGAATCTATTCCTTGTTCAATTGGAGATGTAAATGGTGAACAGATTTTTGATGCATTAGGCCCCCTTTATTCATTTCATCCATATAAAAAGAAGATAAATGTTGCCAGAGGTTAATGTTTCGTTTGATCTTCTCAATCACATCAAGCGGCCACCCGATATCCTTGGAGAGTGGCTCCATCTGAGCTGTCATATTTATGAGGGCAAATAAAGGAGCATGATGTTGACTCTGCGCTGTTGTGTTGTTGTTGGTGGTGGTGGTGCTTGTGGTGGTGATAGCCTTTAGACACATCTTATCGTTGAGTGATCACAGCATAACTGTGAAGATATCCAAATCTAACGGTTCCAGTGCCAGGTTAAAAAAATATCAACAAGGTGTTCAAGCAACTTTCCAATAAACTAGTGTGTTACAATACCCTGTAGATCTTGGNGTAGACACCCATTGACATACAGTTAGATACCACATAACTTCCATGAAAGGGGTGGAGTTGAGATCCTCAATTCCCGACAACACGTAAAGTACTGGATATCAAGAGTAATATTTACCCGTTTGGAGAACGTCATATATGGTGCTCGGTCGGACAACGGTGTATTTAAACAACTATTCGTTGAACCTGTTAACCACATTAGAAGGCTTCACAATCCACCAGTAAGAAGACGAGAATTTCCATTAGACATACTCCTGAAAATCTTTAATTTGTGAGTGGTTGAGAAGCAGAGAAAGGTTGACTCGAACAACCTGATTCTAGCAGTCCTTAGGAGTGGAGTCACTCATTCAACTCCATTACTTCCCAATGCAAATGCATTCCCTCGATGAGTTAAGAAGTTGTATTACAGCCAGCTTTTGTTTACGGTCTAAGATAAAAGGACAATCAGCTCACGCGATGCACATGTGCAAACACAGACAGACAGACAGACAGACAGACAGACAGACAGACAGACAGACAGACAGACAGACAGATGCACTTGTCGTACACCGCGGAATATTTTTACTGTTTGATTGGTCGATAAGTGGCGAATAACCGATTCTGTTTTATTATTCTCTTCGTTCCATTTCGTTCGACATATTTGCAATTCTGTCATGCTTATTTATTCAGTAAACGCCTCAGTTAACATGTCATTGAAATGGACCTCCTAAGGATTGGGTCATAACACGGTGAAAATAGGTTTGGTAATTTTACACTCGTTTTGTTCATTCTGTCGGTAGTGACAAGGATGTTTGTGTCCCTATAAGCGTCCTCTTGATTCATTCATGTTTTGCAATCTGAACTGTCGAATACTGTTGAATACAGACTCATTGAGTTCATTTGCAGCATAAGACCCGGTTGGTGACATTTTAATCGGTAGTTGCCCGACTTCTCTGGAGACCAACAACGACACTGTCGGTGAGGCAATCCTAATTGCAATGTGTGACCTTGAGGAGGGTTACTGACGGATGTTTGCTGGGATAAGAAATGCGAGATTTGAAAGGGGAGGGGCTGGCTTCAATCAAATTGTGTTTCGATAGATAGACAACATTTTCCGTTAGTTTAAAGTCGAATGCGTGTTCTTTTACGGTTCATTTTAATTACCGTGTTGATTCAATGTATCAGTTTCCAGTTTTCAATATGTATATATATAATAACATGATCACTTACTGAAAGCCTATCATGGAGCATGTTCAAACAACAGTGAATTCGGAAGTTTTACCCCGGTAAATGCGGAATTAGGCTATGAATTTTTCACCAAGTCCGAATGCATCAATCGTACGATACAGGGACAATGACTTCGCTCCATCCACACCTGTCAATCGACGGTTTTGAAAAGCTGGGGCTAAAACACACCGTGTTTTTATGACTTTCCCGTAAAACGCAGTTCTATTTATATATTTCCTTTTGTACGTCATCGAAAACAATAAAAAAAACCAACACAGATATGCAGGAAAGCAATCTAAGAACATAAAAGGATTATGAGTAGGTATTGGTGACGATGTTACCCAGTGGCGCATCACATGAAACGCAGCTGTGTGGCGATGGCTGTGCTCGTTGCAGTTAAGCCCTGTTTTGCTGTCTGTGCACGTGATTGAGTAAACTATAGAAATTAGGGCGATTGAGTTATTTTTTACTCTGCTTTGTACCATTGTTGTATTTCCATTCGACCTGTCCAACTTACCTGAACTTTCACGCTGTTGTTGTTGTTGTTGTTGTTGTTGTTGTTGTTGTTGTTGTTGAGTAAACGCCTGTCCGTGGAATGTTTTCAAGTGACCCCTGTCAAAATAAGAAACGACTCCGCACCGGTTCGTGAACTCCGGTTAGACTGACCATTGTCACTGTTCCTTTTTAATCATTCTCATGGATACTCCCAGAACATACTTTGGTACAGCGGTACCCCTTACCTGAGCTAGTATCCGAGGCTACAAGGATGTCGGCTTAAGACACTGTCTCGCAGATGGCTGGCCGATTGAATGAAGGCTGCAGTTCTGTCATTTTGTTGACAGTGGCAGGTTTAAAACATCACAGTAGAACGCGTACGGAGGCCCCGTTGATTTGATTTGCTTGTTCGCTGTTTTGATAGACCACACCGTTTTTATTTCACGCTTGTCACTAACGCAATAATTTCAATCAAACAGAGTTTGCAAAACAAGTCAGAATGAGTCTCGATCAAACTAATGATTTTGTTACTTCTTCAAAATAAGATACAAATCTGAAATGTTAACGATCATTAGTCTGAAGTCTAGGTACATCAATAACAAACCGAGTA